CTACAAGCCAGAAATGCAAGTGAAAATGTTTCTATTTCTGAGCCAAGCGGCTGCACGGTTTCCATGGTAACGTGACGTCAGCCTAGCGGCAGATGTAAATCCCCCCGCCCCGAAGATTATTATCGGAGACCGATGGGAATGAGTTTTTGGTTTTGGGCAGTGGGCAGTTCTCTTCGTCTTCCTTTTGTTCAGGAAATGCGTGACGCCGGCGCATAATTTATGCACTTATGCTAATATTCGGCTACTTCGGCGAGTAATTAACCGTGTAAAGACTGTAAAGTTGTTGTTGTTATATATTGTTGTTTGTTAATGGTTTTCGTTGGTTTAACTTGTTAATTTTTGCCGATTTTTGCTGTTTGTTTTGTTGTTGTGTTTTAAAACTGTTTTGTGTGTGTATGTATGTGTTAAAAAAATAACCCAATTAATGACTTGGTGTGCAATTTATTGGAAACTTCCTTCAGACGGTGGACAGATGAAGATAAGAGGGATTAGTTTATTAGTTTAATCTCAAGGGTGACCAACTGAAACTTTAACCATAAATTGCAAAAAGGAAATAAGAAAAAGTGGTAAATCTTATAATATAAATTTAAGTCTTCCTGGTTCTCTGATTTTAATTGGCTATGTAGTAGTATTGTTTTACAAAAATTATTTTGTTGGTCGGGTTTACTATATATTTCCTAATAAACATGGCATTTGGAATAAAGAAGGGTTCACTGATTTCGTAAATGTAACAAGATCTTTGCAAAAACACGGGGATTCTGCAGAACATTTAAAATGCCAGTTAATGCTAAGAAATAAAAAAAATTAAAATACAATAGCCGATGCTTTAGAAAAAAACGTTAGACTCTATAAGCTTAATTTTAATGAAAAGGTTCGTTTAAATAGGCTTTAATGAATATACTTAATTAATTATGACGATATTACTGATAAGTTTGCATCAATAAAGAACAGAAAAATTGAGCTGATTTACAAAAATTAGTAAGGTTAGTAATATAAAAAAATCAAATTTATTTTCGTTAATATTGCGTAGTAAACATTAATGTAATAATGATTAATGTAATAATTGAATGGCTCCTCGGTTGTAACCAACAATTTTTACCTATGATTACCTATGATTTTTACCAACAATATACCTATGAAAATTACAACCTTATTTCACTAAAATCTCTATTTTGAAAAAATGTCGATTACAACGTTTTTCGGGGAAGCCATTCAATAATTACAGTGTTCACCATAAAGTTGAATCCATATGGACGGGTTTTTTTGGTATTAGAGTTTAAAAAAAACTTTTTGTGGCAATCAATTCCGCTTTAAAAACAACTTAAAATGCACCAAGTCAAAGTTGAAACATAATTTTGTTAGTCACTTTTTTTAAAATAATAATAATTTAACCAATTTTTAAAAATTTCTTTTAAATATTTTGTATTTGACAGCTCCCAGATGTTAGCTGTCAACTTTGGCTTAGTGCATTTTAAGTTGTTTTCAAAGCAGAAGTGATTACCACAAAAAGATTTTTTAAAACTCTAATATAAAAATAACGTCCATATGGATCCAACTTTATGATGGACACTGTATATAATGTTTATTATATTTAATTTATGTAAATTTAATTATATTTTCACTGGAATGCATATATTTTCACTGTAATATGTTTATCGAAAACTGGTTGTACATATCTATTTTTACTTAATGCGTTTTAGCCCAAACTAAAACGAAAATATTATAGGTATTAGTGTATAAATAATAACAAAAAAAATGTTGCCAAAATGGTGAATGCGGCAAAAAATTTTCAAATAATATTTTAAAAAATGTTGACAAAATGGTGAATGCGCCAAAAAAATTTCGCCTGCGGCGCAATTTAATGAATTATCTCTTTACCTAATTTTTTACACACGAGCCGCCACTGACATATACCGGGTGTTTCCCAAAAGGGGCTCACTTCTATAACTTTTTTTATTTATTCAGATAAAAGAACGGGATTTCGTATATTAGTACATATTTGCCATAAATAAGGATTAACTGACATATTCAATTATTGTTTTCGGTCACTTCCTGTTTCACCGGAAATAACTACTACTTTTGATTTTTAAATGACACCTTTCGCATTTTTAGCCCATTTGATAGAAAATGACATTCTGAATAGAATGACATATCATATGTCAATTTTTGGTATTTTCAGTAAAAAAAATTGGCGCCGGGAGGTACGTCTTTTAGTTTCAAAGTAAAGCAATTTTTCCAATTTTGGTCCACGGTTATTTCCCCTATCGGCCACCTGGGGTCGCGTCCGATGGGAGTTTGGAGTTCTCCACACGGATTTTCTTTTTTTTTGTTTTTTTTTTAATAAGTTTTATATATTTTTTTGAGATTTTTTATATTTTTGGGGCTTTTTTTTAAACGTTTAAAATATATCTCCGTACATAAAAGTAAAAACCGCGTTTTGCTAGCTGTTTCTGAGTTATAATTTTTTAAACAATATTTCATATTTTTTTATCTCAAAAACTGCGACTTTGACTGATTTTGATGTTATTACAAATTTTGTTGCAAATATTATTCCTAATCTTAAATTAAAAACCGCGTTTCGCTAGCTACTGTAATTTTGGAGTTACGATTTTTTTAAATTTTTAACCCCCTCCCATACCCCCTTACAAATCTCCCACCCCCACCAAAAACTAATGGTCAGATTCTCGAGTGCCACAGTATTTTTGTGCCAAATTTGGTTAAAATCGGTTTAGCGGTTTTTGAGTTATCGTGTTACAGACAGACAGACAGACACCATGAAAATATTTTGTATTTAGGTCATTTATGACCCAAATAACTCATTTTGAGTGAAATTAAAAAAACTTTTTTTGCCGATCTTAATAGCCTACCAAAAAACAGCATTTTAAATTTCAATTTAGAGTGCCAGGGCCATAAATGTAACGAAAATTTGACTCGAAATACCAAATGTGTGATGGTACCAAATTAATCGTAAGAAATGCTTTTTACAAATATGCTAATGAGCCACTTGCGTTCTATTTGGAAAAATTGAGTTTGATTAAAAATACCATTTGGGCATCTTTAACCGGTCAAGAGGACACGAAAGACATTAGACGATTAAATCTACCGTATAATCGAAAAAAACGTCGTCCAGTTGGCTTAGAAATGGCGAGCGATGACATTCCTTATATAATAATAACCCCTAATGTTTCATATAAAATGGCAGCGATCTTGATTTCATAGCCGTTTTTTTTTTCGATCCTATGATATTTTTCCAAGGCTCCTTTTAGAAATTAGAGTTTTTAACACAGCCATGGCACTCTAGGTTGAAATTTAAAATACTTTTATTATTTTTTAAAGCGGGAATTAGGCAAATGTACTGTCACCATACATTTCACCGTGAAACTAGTCATACACGGTCAAGTTGACCAAGTTCAATCAATCGACATACCAAATTTCATTTAAATCTAACGATTTTTTGATTTGATTCATTGATGATGGTTTCGTAGTGCACGAAACGTCGTCAATATATCATGAAAAGATGAGGCTCTTCGAGCTACCTCTACATTTCGAGTTTCAGCCCCCTATATATTCGTGAAAGCAGCGTTCTCTTGAATGAATATAATTAAAAGTAAAGTAAGAAACCAACTAACACATGAAAACTTAGAGTCGTGTATGAAACTTAAAACAAGTTATGAGCCAAATTTATCCAAACTTTCTAAAACCATGCAAAGGCAAAAGCCAACGCTCCCATTGAATTTGTTTGCTCATTTGTTTGTTTTTGATGTACAAGTTAGTGTTGTAAGTAAATGTTTAATTGTTTTAAATGTTTACTGAAATAATAGGTATTTATATAATGGCATATATTTATTATTTAATTTGTTGTGAAAAACACTATTTATACATATAAATATAATATAATAGTTATTTTTTCTTTTGAATAAACGAAATAGTTATTTTTTCTTCTGTATAATTTGGTATTTTATAATGGTATTTCAATAAAACATGCTTTTAGGTGTATCAACTCCTCAATTGATTTGCGTTTGAATTAAAAAGCGTGTTTTATTAAAATACTAATATTTCAACGATGTTTCACAAGGAACTAACCACACACTCAGTACTAGATATTTTTTCTTATGAATAAACAGATTATATTTTTTTTTATAAATAAGTATATATACACAGGGTGGTCCGAACTGTATTCCGGAAACTTCGGCAACATATTCTGCAGATAAAAATAAATAAAAAAGTTCGTATAAATGTATGTCATAAATAGGGCCCAAGTTACGACGCCGACGGTCCAAGATCGTTACCATTTTTGTAACACTTGGCGACCTTGGCGTGATGCTTCGCGTAACACTAGCTCGTGTGTCGCGGCCTTAAATTTTTACTCCAATCGTGCGTAAAGAAGTTTCACTTCAGAAATATTCCAGTAATCCGGATTCTTTATTGATTTGCAGGTAGCTGTACCGATATGTGCCCAAATTATCCAAGTTCTACTGTATAATTGAAAATAACAAAAAATCGTTTATACGTAACTAAAAATGTTCTACATAAAACATATCCTATAGTATGTATTTATCTCAGAGAACTAAAATTCAATAATATAAAGAGTAACTTAACATGATCAAGTTGATAACTAGTTAATTTCGCTAAAATCGTAAGTAGGTACTCAAAACTGGAAGATATTTTGACGAAACTATCACCACTGATATTAAAATTGAAATGCTCAATGAATTGAGATAGTTAATAACGTCATTAAATCCTATTTAGATTTTCGATACAAATATGCCAACATGTTTACTTACAGAATAAACAAACTGTTTCTTTAATTTGTTAGATTGCAGTGGCGTAAACTCTAACGCAATGTGATATTCCTACATCGCAATAATTTAATAAAAACTGTTTATTATTTCGGTCCGTATCTTTGGTATTGTCAACGTACAGAAAAACAAAATATCTATAAATATCGTTTAACTGTTTTAAATTAAACTTAATTATCTTAGTAATATTATATTTTTAAAGTGTTTATTACATAAGCCAACAACGCCACTGCAGCCGGGGTCACATAAAGATTAACATTAACGATAGGACTTAGTGGCAATAAACAAACCTTTAGTTTCTATAGACCTAATGGACCAATGATCCATCAGATTTAATAACAAGGCTTTAGTGTGGTATAGTGAATGCGGTAAAGTACATTAAATCATTTAAAATGTTAAGGGTAGGAAGTAAGTGTATTGCGAACCCACCAGAAAAAGTATTAAGTCTGCTTAGTAGCTGTAATTGCAAGAGACTATATAGTAATGAGAGTAGTTTACCGAGGCAAGCGGAAGTAGTTGTTATAGGTAAGTTAATGTTATTAAAGTCAAAAAGATAATCAAAGCACAAAATTCTAACTTGAATTGAATGCCGTAAACACTAAATATATAAGATATAAGTACTTAATAATATACGAAATATAAAATTAAGTGCATATATGAAGTACACGTAAAAATGTATCTATAAAATACGTACCTATATAAAATTTCAAATATAGAAACATTTTTGCTACAAACAAAATCTTGAAACAAATTCGTGTTATCTTAAACATAAACAATTTAAGCACAAAGTGCATTTTCTAATTCAATAATTCAATTTCTAAAAATAAATCAATGAGTTAAAAATCGTCTTTAACTTGTTTCTTACATTATACGAAATATTTTTATATACATTTTATATTCCATATCAATTTTATAGATATTTAAATCGGAATGTGTTTCTATCTGCACTTAAATATTTTTAGGTTCTTTTTTTATTTGATAACATTGTTTGTCAGGTACTCGAGATTCTATTAAATAAATAATGCAGTAATAAAAAAAATATATTACTAACGTATTTTTTTTAATATAAATACTTACATCAGACAATTCTCTCTTTTATTTTATTTTTTCCTTCAAAGCCTTTTTTTGACAATTATTATATCTGTCATCTGTGTTTTTACTTGCAATTTTTTGATTTAGACTTTACACCGTATGATGGAAATTTATGGAAAAAAACGGCGTCCAGTTGGCTTGGAAATGACGACCGATGACATTCCCCATATAATTTTACATATAAAATGACAGCGATCTTCATTTCATAGCTATCGCTGACGCCGTTTTTTTTTCGATCATATTGTATTACTTTACATTGTAATATGTAAAACCGTATAATTAACAGACTGGCTGTAAGACTACCGACGTCATAGACAATTGACAAAAGAAAGACTGTTTTACATATAACGGGTGCGTCTGAAAAGTGGCTCACCCCTATAACTTTTTTTATTTTTTCAGATAAAAAAACGAGATTTGGTATGTCAGTATATGACATAAATTAGGGTTGATTGACGTGTTCAATTACTTTTAGTCACTTTCTGCTTCACCGGAAATAACCACAACTTTTGATTTTTAAATGGCACCCTCGTTATATTTTTACTTTACTTTATTTGATAGAAAATGACACTCTGAATAGAATGACATATCATATGTCAACTTTGACATTTTCGTTTACAAAAAATCGTATTTTAAGTATGATCTAGAGTGCCATAGCTGTGTTAAATCACTAATTATTAATCAAGGAGCCTTAAAAATAGATTTGATGACCTCATGTTTTTCGTGTCTTGTCCTGTCCTGTTAAAAGATGCCCAAATCCTTTTTTAATAGTAACTCAATTTTTTCAAACGGAACAAGGGTGGCTCATTAGCATATTCGGAAAAAGCATTTTTTACGAATAATTTGGTACAACACACGCATGTTACAATTTCAAATAAACCATTTGCAAAAATGTCAAAAGTTGATATATGATATGTCATTCTATTCAGAATGTCATTTTCTATCGAATAAAGTAACAAAATACCGAGGGTGTGCCATTTAAAAATCGAAAGTTGTAGTTATTTCCGGTGAAACAGAAAGTGACGAAAAACAATTGAATACATCAATCAATCCTAATTTATGTTATATCATATACCAAATCTAGTTTTGTTATCCGAAAAAAATAAAAAAGTTATAGGGGTTATTATTGTAGTTGTTGAGACGTACCCGGTATATTAACTTGAATGCAGCAGAAAATCGAGGTAAATTTTTCAAGTAAAGCGGTTTTTGATAAATTTATAGAGAATGTACACTTTTTCAATACAGTTTTTCATAAAACATAAATACCGTCCTTATTTTATTAAATTTTATGTGATATTGTTAGTATTGTAGCAGCGTTGCTTTCTCTGTTTGGTTAATGCAGATGTAATTGCTTTGAGTATTTTGATTTAAAATTGAATATTTTACAATTTTTTACAATTATAAAATATGAACGACACCTGAATTTAAGTAAAAAAAATGAAAATGCAAAGATATTGGGTTATTAATTCGACGGCATTTGATATTTAATGACAATTGATATTTAAATTGCGATAAATTTAAAGCAGAAAGAACATTTACCTCCCCTGTCTACATCAATGAATTCTATTTATTTATGCTTAAATAAATCTAACCTTTTGAAGACCATTTCTAAACATCATAAAAATATAGGCATTATTGTAAATATTTGGTAACTTCATACAAATAGTTTTAATAGTAGTAAACATATTTATTCTGTTTTTAAATAGTTAGTTAGATTTATTTAACATATATATTCGTGTGTTTGAATTAGCGCTTTTTATTACTTTATTGTTAAATTTAAGTACCTATACATATAAAAAAAATAAGTTTATGTCCACATCAATTATTTCGATTAGATTAAAATTAATTATTGAAAATTTCGAATATGTATACCGGGTGCGTCTCAAAAGTAACTCACCTCTATAACTTTTTTATTATTTCACATAAAAAAAGGGATTTGGTATAGGTGATAGTACGTCGATCCGTGCTGTAGCTACGGGGCATCCGTAAAGAGGGAAGCGATTAGCCGGCAATTCATGGGCGTGGGGCGCGGTGGGGTAAAAATGGGACATTTTACATATCTTTTTATTTTTTTCCCATTAAAAAAACCTTAAAGTAAATAAAAAAATACTTAAAGTGGGTAAAATTTCACGGGAAATTACATTATATTCACCAAATGTCATAAAAACAAGTATTTCTTTAATAAAAAAAATAAATCTCTGTCTCATTTTTTTCCTGTCGTTGGGGCAAAAATAAGACATACTTGGAAAAAAATGAGACAGGGTGTAAAACGAAGGTTTCCATCATATTATTCGATCTGGGGAAAGACTGATACAGGTAAGTATAAAAATAAGACACACAACATTTTGTGAATTATTAATTTGTACTGTTTTAATTTCAAAAAATGGGAAAAATCTCATAATACTGTTTAACAAAACAAGTCAAAGTAAACTAATAAGTAAATTCTACTTAAAAAATAGAACGTAGGGTAAGTATAATAAAACATTTAGCTAATTAACAGAAAACTTTTGAAAGTCTATCGGAAAAGCAAGCTTTTGGGACATTCTAGCGGTTCCTCCTTGGCAACTAGGGGAGGGTAATTTCATTACAATATCGTCTTTGTCCACATTATAATTTTCAGGCACGGTGGGAAATACAAATTTGTTCACTTGTCGACGCATATACGATACGCAGTACTCACTTCCCTTGATATTTTCTACTAACGCAACGTAATGTACCAGTTTCTTTTTTGTAGCAAACTTTATTAAAACATAGTCTCCGGAATGTATCTCATTTGAGCAGGTGTCAAATTCGTTATCTGAATTGGATTCAACTAGATCAGCTAACGTCATATCATCCACATCACTTTCGTCTTGAAGAATAATGCCTTCGGCTTCACTTTCTGAGGAAGAACTTGGAACTCGATCTATTTTTTGAATATTTTTCTTTTGTACCTTTTTTGTTTGAACTCTACCTTTTTGAATGACTTCTTTTTGTTTAATGCTTTCTAAATATTCAGCACTCGTAAGAACCGCAGAGTTTGAATTAATCTTACGTCTTGTCTTAGTCTCAGGATTTGTTTTATTGATTTTGGCAAGCAAAATTTCTTCGAACGTGGTGGACGATGAAGCTGTGCCCGCGATTGAAATATTTGATGTGGATGCCAAATTAATTTCATTTATTATCTGGTTTTCCTCGGGTTCTGTTATCTTTTCTTCTCCCTCTCTGTGTTTATCTTCTCTATTAGGTTCTTCAACTGTTTCAATTTCAGCCTCTTCGGCATTTAAATTATACATACTACTATTTAGTACAGTATCTCGTTGTGCACATTCGTTATATCTTTTTAGCTTCACTTCATTAAGTCTTTCTTTTGGGTATTTTTCCTTAGAACAGGGATACAGACCAGTAGTTTCAAACGATCGTTTTATGACATCTCGTGAAATTCCCTCATTCCATAGTTCACAGATCATATTTGCAAACTCACATTTGGTGAGCTTCCTTTGGTTTAATCTTTGCCACTCTATAAGTTTTTGATTCCATTTTAATTTTAAAGGTCCAAAACAGCATTTGTCTAATGGTTGCAAAAGGTCAGTCGCATGTGGTGGTAGTTTAAATAAGGTAATGTTATTCTGGATGGCAGCTCTATGGTCCCTGTAGCCAAGTGAGAAACATGCCCGTCCATTATAACAAGAAGGGGTCTTTGCTGGACCATCTTGCAGAACTTTTGAAACCAAGAATTAAAACCGCTGTTGTCATCCATCCCTTGTCGGATACAGCATAGCATGTATTTTCAATGTCTTGCGTTCCTTTCCAAGTGCTCCATAAATTTTGTCCTTGATATATTATTAAGGGCGGCAAGAGATCTCCGTTTGCCGAAATGCAGGCCATTGTTGTAACATTTTCTTTTCCGGAACCTTCGATACTCCGATGAACCCTTTGTACTATCCAAAACAAGTGGATTAGATTAAAAAATAGTTTAAGTATTACAATCCTAACTTACCTATCGCTGAGACACCCTTTACTCTACCGGGATCTAAATTAAAACTAGTTTCGTCTAGATTAAATATATGTGAGGGTTTATCTTGTAATCCCAGTTTCTTAATTGTTTCCCCAAGTTTATCATAAAAGGAATAGATGATAAAGGGGTCACTGGTTGCAGTTCTTCGGCACTTTTCCAACTGTTCCATCTTTTTTTGACTTAGTCCATTCCTTTTGCAGAACGTCCGAAACCAGTCATCTCCGGGTTTTCCATTATTAAAAACGGTTTTTAAATTATTTTCATTGACGTAAGTTTGAACAACACGTTTAATTTCTTCTTTGGATACAGCAAATCCCCATTTAGCCATCACGGTGATCTTTTGGGTTAGATCAGCTTCTTGATCCACTGATAAGGCTTGCTTTCTACCTTGTTTCGACTTATTTTTGTTGTTAAGCGACCTACTAAGCTTGGACTTGTC